ACTTTGTTTTTAATATAAAAAGTTGTTCTAAAGAATCATTCCAGAATCAACACATGGCATTTGCATCTATATTTTACTTTATGCATTTTATTTACTTTTCACATTGCAATTTATTCATTAATAGTCATAATTTTCATATTCATTAGTAAAATATCAAAATTAATAAAAAGATCGTATGACAAAATTCTGGAAACTTCCAAGCACCCTTACAATACCAGGAAAAAGGTAACGGACGAGAGAATCGCCCAAATTGAGAAAACCCAACTATAAATAAAGGAGAATATAAGGAAATCTCAAGAAGAGATGCATGAACAAATACTGAAATCCCATAAAGATATTATGGAGAAACTTACAAGCATGTTACAGGGAAGAAATACAAATCGAGAAGAGATTACAACTGTTCGATTCTACTGCCAAAGAACCTTTGTACCTCCGAGCTTTGTACTACGAGCGGATTGTGGAAAGGCTCTAACTGTTGGTGTTACCACCGAAAACCCCTATACCATCCAAGTTTTACACCACCTCATATTAGAGCACAGCAAGGAACGACTCCTCAGCCAGGAATAATGCACATTAACTTACCTGACTCCTCTGTTAACCCATACCAAGCTGAAAACGTCTCAGATTTGATGAGGAGGGAAAAAAGAGAAAAATAAACAACTAGAAGAGAAATAGAAACAACTGGAAGATGATATCAGAGCTATGAAAGAGGACACTAGCATGTATGGGATCTATGACAATGAGTTAACACTGGTTATTGATTTGGTGCTACCTCCCAAGTTTAAATTTTTGGATTTTGAAAAATTCCGATGGCACGAGATGTCCATCTGTTCACATCATTATATTCTGTAGGAAAATGGCTGACTATGTAGGGGATGATCAACTATTGATATATTATTTCCAGGATAGCTTAACAGATTCGTCCATTTGATGGTACAATTAGTTGAGCAGAGTTCACATCCGGTCATGGAAATATTTGGCTAAAGATTTTCTAGAGCAATATAAGCATGTGAATGATGTGAGGCCTAATCGAATCATGCTGCAAAGCATGGAGAAAAGATCTAATGAGAGCTTCAGACATTATGCTCAGAGGTAAAGAGATGTGACTATACAAGTTCATTCGTCGCTTGAGGAAGAGGAAACTAACATTATATTTATAAACACTTTAATGGGCTCATTTCATTAGCCACATCATAAGAAACTCATCCAAGAATTTTGCTGATTTGGTTACAATAAGCAAGTTTATCGAAATGGCAATCAAGAGTGGGAGGCTTGATGGAGGTGAATCTAGCAAGAAACCGCTAGTGAAAAAGAAGGATAACGAAGTTAATAACGTGATGAAGTATGACTCTAATAACATCTTTGTGACTCGACCTCAAGCCACATGATCATCCACACAGAATTCTGCCAGGTAGAGGACAAGGGATCTAAGAAAAGATATAGATATGATTCAGTTTGACCCGATCCTTATGTCCAATAAGAAATTGTTTCAGATCTTATATTATAGACATGTGGTGTCACCTTACCATGTGTCACCTATGCAACCTCCCTACCCTAAATGGTACAATGCTAATATCCAATATGAGTATCACGCAGGAGTTCTGGGACATTCAATAGAGAACTGCACTGCTTTTAAGAAGATTGTCCAAGTTTAAGGCAAAAGAACATCATCAACTTTGGTGATAGTGAGCAACCAAGCGTGGGTCAAAACCCACTGCCAAACCATGCAGGTATAGGGGTCAATGCAATTACTGAGGAAAATGAAGGAAGATCATAACAAGGGTGAGTGAGGTAAAATCACCTATGCATTGGATATGGGGTCGGATAATCAAGGTTGACATGTTGGTCTCTAACCTGGCAGTTAAACAAGTTAAGAGCAAGCATGCATGTCAATATCACAATTGTGAGGGAAACACTATACAAGACTGTTTTGACTTTCGAGCTTTGGTGTAAAGAATTATGGACGACAAATAGATGGAATTTTACAAATAAGTTGTTGAAGAGGAAGAGGTAGAGGCTTGTGCATCTGAAGGTTCTTCTATGGGAGTTTACAACTCCAATTTTTCTCAAGTCATCACACCAAAAACTCGTGTGGTAAAGAAAATAACTCATATGGTGGTAATCACAAGGACAACAAACAAGTTCCTTGGAAATATGAGTGCAAGATGGATAATGTAGAGAAAGAGAATGAAGAAGTGGATGAAGTAGGCCATTTCACCAGGAGCAGGAGATGTTACTCTCCCAGTCAGCCCAAAGAACCTGAAATAAGCTTGACTTACTGCTAAAAGATGATGAGCCAGTCATTAATTAGCATGTGACAGAAAATGAGGATGTGTAATTTTTGAAATTCTTGAAACACAACAAATATAACATCGTTGAATAACTACACAAGCTACCTTCTTGCATCTTCTCTAAATCCCCTCACTCTCGGTCGGTCGCATCAGCTTGAGACAGAGCATCAGGGTTATCCTCTATGATCTCTTTAAGGGATGGGTTGAATCTAATGATTTCGTCCTTGTAGAACTCAACGAGTTGCCTTGAGGCGAGTGACTTACTCTTAAAATTAAGTTGGATCCTCCACAATTGCTTCTTTGATTGTGAATGATGATGACACTATGGGTTGAAGAAACAGAAGCATCAAAGTTAAAAAGAGTATAAAGCTTAGTGGAGATGATTTTATATACGACATTGCTATGTCCTTATCCAACTTGTCTTTGCCTGCATTAAATCAGAGTTTCTCAGTCGATCTTATATAGAAGATGACAAGTGTAAATTTAATAAATTAATCATATAATTTGAACCAAGTTCCTATAACCTTTAAATATTTTACCAACTTTTCGGCCAGTGTAGTTAGGGATGGATTGAAGAGGCATCTGCAGACGATCACACTTGAAAATTTTAAATTTTTAAATATTTTCTATTAATGATTTATTTTTACTTCTAAAATTTTATAAATTCATCACTCCTAAAATTATACTAACTTTGCTCCCTAACATAAAATCTTATATCCACCGGTGAGTGTAATAATAGTATTATGTGTATCTTCCTATGTAGGAACAAAAAAAGTTGAATATTTAGAATTGATAATAATTAATTAGGTATATATACAAATAATACTCTGATTGTATGATACTACTTTGTTGAATTCTCTAATTATTAAAAGTTTAAAATAGTTTTTCGATAGTGTTGTTTTATTGAGTCCATCGACCATTAAAAGTTACAAAATGGTCACCCGACTATTCATCATATTCCAAACTCGTCATTTTTCGTTAAAATATTAACGGTAGTCTAAGCTGAACATTAGCATACTGACTAAGATATAATAGTCTAAGCTGAACATTAACATTTAAACCATTTCTTTTACTAATGACATCTCCTTGAGTATTCTACCATCAACTGCAGAACCTTCTCACTCAGGTAAAACATAAATGAATTGCATGTTTGGTGTGCAAACACCAAGTACATTTGTCGCAATTTCATTTTTTTCTTATTTTGTATATAGGTTTATCAATTGAAGCTACATTGACCTTAATATAAGTTCCATCTAGAGCACCTAAACATCCCTATATTCATCAAATAAAGTTAAATTACATTATTACTATCCATTTATGTATTAAGTATTACTAATTAACTTACAAGAAAGTTTAGAATTATGATATAATACCTTAAACCATTTCCATCTATCGTATGTTGAATTATCTTGTATCGGTTCTGTTTTTCTAAAAAGAATCGGATGCAATTTTAAGACTGAAGCTAACACTGTATGGAGAACTCTACTAATTGTTTCACCAGATCTTACTATTTGACGTTTTAGAACTCTATTCTTAATATGGTGGGATATAATATGAAGGAAAGTAATAACCATTTCTTCTATAGACAATTATCAACACTTTGTCTATCACTTTCAAATACAATTTTATGTAAATTAAGCGATCTAATATTATGTCTATGAAGTCTTTCACGTGCATAACTTATTTTAGGTCTATTTTTATATTTTCTTTGTTCTTTGTTCTGTACAATTCAATTTGTATTTTTTGTTTAATTGTTCACTTAAATGGTTGAGTGCAAACAGACATATTGTAAGTAGTCCTAAATGAAAATGGATATTTACACAACTAGAGCATGCCCAATCGTCTTCCCTGCCACTAACCAGATATTAAAATTGTTTCGGTTTAACAAGAGAAATACAATCCCTATTAAAATTCTCCACCAACTCTCAGCACTAGGAACAAGCGATTGAACCCGAGTTTTATTTAGGAGTCTCTGGTCATAGATTACTCTCTTACTCCAAAGATTAGCCGAATACGCTCAGCAGTCGGAACAAAATTGCACTTAAGTTTTGAGCTAGTGACCAAAATTGCCTAAATTTTGAGCTAGTGACCAAACAATATGATAGATTGTTTCGCTATGCAATTATGATTATATCTGCAAACAATCTTTTACTGAAGTGGGAATATGTCAATACGTGATCACCGACAAACTAATCATAAAACAAATGTGGCGAGTATTTGAAAAACTTATCAAAAGCCATAAAGAACATGCCACAAGAGCAAAGAGAATGTGCCTTAAAAACAGAAAAAAAAACGTGTTGCAAAGACAAAAAATATTATTTTAAAATAAAAAATTCTAAAAAAATAAAAACAAGACATAATAGGAAAAAGAGCAAAGAAAATAATAACCACGACATGGACCAATATTAAGATTAATGTCCTCACCGGCTAAAAAAAACAAAGAAAAAGAGAATGACGACAAATATATTGAGAAAAAAAATCTTTAGGAGATGAGGAGAAAACCCTTAATAGATGATACCTTGATTATATTAATACTTTTTTTAAATTCCAGAAGCAAATTATGTTAAATTATAGTTAATGATATTAAATTTACATGTAACTTATTCACTTTCAAATGACTGGATAGATTGTTTTAGCATTGGAGAAGGAATATACTAATATCCGCATTGGACCTCATAGACGTTACAAAATGCTTAAATATACATGTTATGTCTCAACTTTTATATTAATATGATGCCTCGAACATAATCATAACAGACAATGGGTATTCTTTTTCCTACACAAAGCAGAACTTGTGGAGTATAATTTAAGAAATGGGTTAAATTCTCATTCTCCCTCAGAGTCAAAATGCAATGCAACACCACACGGTTCCCTCAACCCTGTTTCTTCTTTTTCTTCCCTGTTTTCTTTTTCTTGAGGCTCCTTTTGAACACAGCCAACACCTCAATGCTGCAATAAATACCCCCAACATTATTCCCAGTACATACAAAATTATGTATTTTTTCAAAAGTTGTACTTTCTTTACTCTCATTTTTCAAATTTACTAAAAAAACCAATGGAAATAAAAGTTGTTTTCTTTCAATTTTTCATCTGTACTACCAAGCACACCAATAGAAAGAGAATATATATTCTCCATCTTTCTACTTTCCTATCCCTTTAATTTCCACTCATCCAATTTTCTTTCCACTCTACCAAGCAAAGCTTAAGAGTCCAACACTCTACATACATAAACGTTCTCTTTATTTGCTGATGAAACATAAGTTCGAAAAAGCAATACCTCTGAGTGCCTGGAAAGAAACTAAAACCATGGGCTTTTTCCAAACGCCAAGACTTATTAGTCAACAAGGCCTTGCAATCCTGTTATGTAATCCAATCATAATTCGTTCGTGAAAACTCAAACAAGTTTTTTTTAAAAAGTACACAAATTCCAACTACAAGTACCTCTTTGAAGCTTTCCCATCCACAGCTTATATAAATAAGAGTTTCTGGAAGTGATTGTGGATCTCCTGAAATTGTTTCTCTTCCAACTTGAACCGAAGCTTCTTTTGCACGTTCCATTTCACGTAAAACCCATGGTCTCTTTTCTTCTTTTATATTTGAAGATGAACTGCAAATTCCAAATAACAATTGAAAAGTGTCCATAATAGGAACTGCAATCAAATCCTCTACAGATGGCTTGAAATATATGGAATCATCCTACCCTTTCAAAGATGGTTTAAGTTTATGTGATGATATAGTCCGTAATGCATCAATTAAAGATGTGTCTAATCCCTTCCGAGGAGGATCAACAACAATCACATCCGATCCGACGAGCCAAGAAAGAGGATCCTGCAAATTCAGTGAATTCATCATACAGTTAGTTCAGAATTATTCATCAGCCACGTTACATGCCAAACTTCCATCGAAGCTCAAGGCATATTAACATCATTATATGGAGAACAAATAATTTGTGAATCTTAAATGACATGAAAAACCGTAAGTTTGCATGAGCTTGACACTAACAATGGAAGTATCAGCATTATGCCATCTAATGCTGCCCTCAATAGACTTTGGCAAACGGTCAATTGACTTCTCAAATGATGTTCTAGATTCTTTGTTAATCTCAATGCATTTTACAGACCTGGTAACAAAAGAAATAAAATCAGAATAAAAGATTAGTCCCATTGAATGCAAGAATCAGAGAGAAATCTGAAGTGTTCAGGACATTTTGTTCTTGCCTGCACTTTTTAGTAGCAGCTAATGATAATCCAATCACACCAGCTCCTGCATACAAATCAGCCACAGACGCTCCAAAAGGCACATATTTGTGTAACTTCCGAAGCAAATTATCAAAAGCCTGAAGAAGCAATAAGAAAATGTATACTGAAAACAATTCAAACAAACAATACAACATAAAGCTACACATGTCCTGCAGATATTTAAGTTGTATTATACATCATATGCTGATCTAAAGCTCCAGGCAGGGAAAAAGATGGAAAAAAGGATCTACACTACGCATGTCCTGCATCATGAAGTAAGACACAAAATGGATCCAGATCAATGATATATTCGGATTAGGGTGTGACTAACATGAGCATGTTCAATTTTTAAAATCTTTTTTATGTATTTTTTTTATAGAATATTAGGCCTCGTTAAAAACCCTCTAGTTGCCCTCCATATTACAATAGTAACATGAAGGACAAACGAAGAGGGAAAAGAGTGCCTATTACTTTTATTAATCAGGAGAATAATACACTGCCATCCCTTACATCAAACTTTAGAAGCCTTAATTCTAATTACATAAGACTTAAACACTTCTTCCTGCAGAAACTTTAACACTAATTACATAAGACAGAAAACAAAATCCCTCCAGAAATGTAAGGGAGTCTAGCACCCTAACACACCAAAACAAAGCCTAACGATCATCCTATACCATCCTTAGCTAGTCTGTCCGCTTTCCAGTTAGCAGCTCTCAAGATTTGCCTTAACATAATATCCTTCCCTTCCATTATAGAAACAATCTCCTTCACCAAGGATAGAAACATAAGGGAGCTTAGTTCCGGATTCTTGATCCACTTCAAAGCATTACTTGAATCCGATTCTAAAATAATCCTCTTATTAAGACCAACACCTGAATCAGACAACATGTACAACCCCCTCTTTATCGCCAATAATTCTGCCATAATCGGAGGTCCCCCCCCAACCATATCAGAGAACCAGTGAATCAACACACCTCTGTTGTCCCTTATGAGTCCACCTATACCACCTTTATTCCAACCACTCGCTATCGCCCCATCAATATTAATCTTTATGAACCCGTCTGAAGGAGGAACCCAACAAGTAGGTTTGGATCCACTTTTTTTTTCTGTCTACCGATCGAATCAGCAAGAGTTAAGTCACCCACTATGGAGTCGAAAGGGATCTGCACAGCGTCAAAACTAGCAGCAAACCAAGAGACTGTTTGAAATCGAGCAATAAAGAACATCCTCACCACATCCAGCTTTCCTTTCATAAAGATAACCTCATTCCTACATTTCCATATAGTCCACAACACCGCCCTTAAGATAAATTTCCAAATACTGGAATTCTGTTGTAGCTCATCCCACATAATAGTAAAGTCTAAGATGTTATTAGGGATCACCAAAGAAACATTCCACAAATTCGTAAATCTAGTCCACAAACCCCAAATTATCTCACAGTGCAAAAAAATATGAGAAACAAATTCCACAAACCTGCCACACAACAAACATAAAGGGTCTTTAATCCCAGCCACTCCTCGCTTCAACAATTCCTCTTTAACCGCCACTCTCTGATGAACAACTTGCCATATGAAAGTTTCAACACGTGGAGGAGCTATCCCGGCCCAAATATGTTTGTCCCACTTAGCCTGAATCCCCTGATTACCAGCCATATCAAAAAAATTATTAATACAAGACTTAGTTGAAAAACAACCCTCTCCATTCCCTAACCAAATCCAATAATCATCCTCCTCAAGAGAAAGTGAGATGTTATTCAACATAGAAATCAGTTGCAACCATTGTTCAATCTCCCAATGCACTAGATTTCTTCTCATTTGAATGTCCCACACCCAGCCTACTGCATTGTTCACCCTAAACTCCACCACTTTACCCACTTTATTATTCGAAAGTGCATACAATCTAGGGAACAAGTCTTCAAGAGGGACTTCTCCCAACCAAATATCATGCCAGAACTCCACAGAATGCCCATTTCCAGCTTTCAAACGCAAGTTTCTCCTAATGCAATCTCCAAACTCATCACTAGAAAAGAAGTTATTAATCACACCTCTCCAAATCCAAGAGGCTCGAGCTGTCGAAGTATTCCCCAACATTTTGGAATTCAGATCCAAATTGTTCACATAACAAACCACCCTCTTCCACCAAGAATGCTTTTCAAAAACAAACTTCTAAACCCACTTTCCCATCAGTGCTCTGTTCAGAATAGCTAAATTCGAAATCCCTAGACCCCCCAACCTTCTCGGCTTACTGACCAAATTCCAGTTCACCCAATGTATGTTTCCTCTATCTGTCGAACCCCCCCCCCATAAAAATGCAACCATGATCGAATTTAATTTCTGCAACACACTGCAACACAGTTTTTGGAATTCTAAAAATAGAAAGGAAATAAGTGGGGTGGGATCACAACACTGATTTAACCAACACCACCCTACCTGCTAACGCTAGAGAGTTTACCTTCCAACCAGTCAACTTATTATGAAACCTCTGTACTATTGGCTCCCACATTGCAACAGAGTTTCTCTTGGACCCCAAAGGCAATCCTAGATACTCTGCTGGAAAATTACCCACTGAGCAGCCAATTTCATTAGACCAACCAGCTAGTACCTCCTCCTCAACATTTATTCCAAAATTCTACTCTTAACTAAATTAATCTTCAGTCCCACCAATAACTCATAGATCAGTAACACCCTTCTAATATTCTTCAAATCCTGGATTGAAGCTTTGGAAAAAATAATGTCATCCGCAAACTGCAAATGCGATAGCTTGAAAGAACTTTCTTGAACCCCTAACTCAAAGCCCGAAAACAATCCCATATCCACTGCTTTAGTTAACAACAAATGAAGCAATTCACCACCCAAATTGAATAACAGGGGGGATAACGTGCAACCCTGTCTAAGTCTTTTTTCAATGCGAATTATGTCCGTAGGAGTACCATTTAGTAAAACTGAAATAGAAGCAGTTGACATACACTAATACATCCAAGAGCACCATTTTTCACCAAACCCCATTTTACCCATTATTTTCAACAAAACCAACCAATCTTTTTTATGTATTTGGAGGGTCATATTTTTAAATCGAAGTCCAAATATGAGTTGAACACAAGCCGAACTCCAGCACTTGAATAAAAATGATAAGTTGGAGTAACATAAACCAAAATAGTGCACAAACAGCCATAACAATAACAAAAGCCACTGATGGATATAAATAGCATTCAGAAACTGCACCTCCGAACCAGACTCTTAATGTGTATTGTTCATTTCTTTCTTATGAAAGCATTTTCCCGGTTAAATTTCACCAAATAAATTTACAGCTTTGCTTACCCGTGTGTTTGCTTGGCCGAAACTGGAGGGATCTAAGGATATATCAATCCCCCCAACATGTTCCCAGAAATCCCTTTCGCCCAAAAGATGTCTCCATCTATTCCCGAAAATGATCTGCATCATAAATTAAGCATTCTAAGTTTCAAATATCTAAAGCATTCGGAAAAGGGGAAAACAAATGAACAAAAGAGAACTAAAAACTCACATTATTAGTAGATGTCTGAAAATTAGCCCACACAGAATGAATCAAATGGAGGCTACTCCTTGACCCAGCATTTCTCCACAAAAACTGCACACCATTAAACAGAAGAAACCATGAAACAAAACGTAGGCCTTTAACAATAGAAGGGTGTAAAATTTAGAAAGTTGAACTCACATTAGCCAAGGCATTTAATTTGTCCGAATTCGAGGATTTCTCATTCCTTGAATTCCAAACTAAAGAAACCTGTACTGTACCTGGAAGCATGAAATCAAAATTTATTCAACTCACTATTTTTGCTTTAAACCGTCAAGAAAGCATAACATTTTCCAGAAGAAAAAGGGATACAAATTGATTAGAACTACCATTTCTATATCTTTGAATAGCCGGAAGTGCAGTATTGTAAGTCGTCACAGCCATCTGTACACATTGAACATTCATCAAGATGGATCCAAAAATACAGATTCTATTAATAATCTGTTTTATTTCTTTTCAAATTTATATGTTTTATATCATCTGAAAACATCACCTGAACATATCGCAAGTCTCCAGTCCCCTCATCCTCATCGTAGGGCTCAATATTTAATTCTCTAATACCTAATATAAAAAGTCGATTAAGTAAATTAATTCACAATTGAACCTTTAAAAGAAGAAAAGAAGTGTACCTTTTCTAAGCAGCTCTACAGCAGCATTAATATTGGGGTGATGAGCTGAAATTGCAAGATTAACATTAAAGAAATCAAATTAAGAACTAAAAGAACATTCTTTAGGACCACAACAAGAGGCTTAAAGATAATTGAAAAATATTAATAAAAAAATCCGATTTTTTGAGACCTTTGCACTGAGGAATATCCACAACGTTATGAGAACCTTCCTCGTAGAGTCCAATCAGAGGGTTCTCCGATAATCCACGAACGGCTAACTTTGCCCGACATCTCCATCCCCACTGGAAAGCAAAGCAGAGAACCGAATCCCGTTCATGAAAAATTAAGAATTTAAGGGAAAAGAAAAGAGAATAAATCTGTAATTTAAAACTAAATATTATGAAGTTTCCGGTTAATACCAATCTACAGCTATCGAAAGTAAAATCGGACACTCCAAGACTCTTAAAGAAATTAGAAGCTTCGTCTACGATGACAGGACGGTGTAGATTAAACTCGTGCGTGCATCCAGAGCACCTGAAAAATTACATTTTTTCCTCTTAAGAAAAACTGAAAAACTATTGCGACTAAGAAAAGCAAAAAGTTTCTTCTTTCTTTTCGAATGCGAGAGGGGTGCGTACGATTCGAAGTGAGGGCACTGCAAGGCGCAAGTTAGGGAGGGGACGGCGGTTGCGGAGGTGGTTAGCGGGAGTAAGGAGGGAGGAGCTGGAGGAGGAGAAGCGACCGTTGGCGATGGGGAGGGGGACACGCGGCAGGTGATGATTGGGTAAGGTGGGCGAATTGGGAGGGTGTACAGTGACATCTCTGTCTCGCGCGGCGGCCGTCTGGTGATAATTTCGGGAACCTTGGCAGCAATGGATAACATAAATAATATCGGTTACTATTATTTATATTAACAGCGATAAATATCTCAATGTTATAATTGGGTCGGACTATCCATCTTAGGCCAGGAATGGATAAAGACCTCGAGCCGTCGAGTATGAAGCTCCAACTCGTGTACATATATGGGATAGGACTAAGCTTCCATTGTTGTATCGAATATAGTGTAGTGTTGATAGAATTACGAGTAAATATATAGTTGATTGTTATATTTTAAAATGTTATAACGAAGTTATTTAATTATTGAAGATTTTGTAAAATATGTTTGTTGTCAATAAATTAATAAAATTTTAGATAGATTTTACTCTATAATCATTTTATCTATTCAAAATATTATTAATGATAAACTTATTGTAGATGCTCGTTTTTGTCCAGAGGCTTCGTATCGAGTACACGATACAAATTTGGACTAGTGGGAGCCCAAATCAGCCCAAAACAGTAGTGTTAATTCCAGTCCTGTCCACGTGAAGTCCTACAAGACACAAACAGTTATAGGAAGATTAAAAAAACAGAAAAACGTGGATGTCATTTTTTCGGGGAATTGATCAAAAACTGAAAGAATTGGTTTTTTATTAGGAATTAACCACTGGAAACAGAAAAGGGGGAAAAGGAGATTACACAAAGGAAATAAAGGAGAGGAGAGATATCTGCAGTTCAACACCATTACTAGAGGGGGGAGATCATTTTTTTATTTGTTTTTTAAAACACAAGAGAGGAAGAATTAGAAAAGTGTGTGTGTAAAATATTTCTTTGTCACTTAATCAAAACGACCAAACGGTTGTACAAAAAAGAATTTGGAGATCAAAGGAAACAGAGGAGTTCCCTCTTTTTGTCGAACCAAAGCAATATACAGATTTCATTGAACCAAAGCAATACACAGAATCAAAAAGGGTAATTTTTTTAATTTTAATTTTCCATTGCTTTCATAATGTTAGTGTGTGTGCACATGTTTCGAATCGAAACCATAACAAAAGCATAAAGGAATAGTGGTATGTTTACCTTAGAAATTGGGGCCATTTCCAGTGATGTGGTTGCGTCCTTGGGGTAGAAACTTGTTAACTTAGAATCTTTGAGTCGATTTAGGAGATTTTGTTTAAAAAAACATTTTAAAGTTAAAAACGGAACTTGTCCATAGGAATGAAAAACCATAATGAAGTTTACCTTTCTTTTCGTTGGTTTCCTCGTTGAGCGATAGAGGGCATGGTCAAAGGCTATATGGTCACCCATTTGTGGTGGCCGGCATGAATAAGGTAGCCCTTAAAGTTTTCGATCAAGAATAAAAAAAAGAGTTGAATTAGAGATTTGTTTAGATCCGGTTGGGGCTCAGTTTGGGTGCTTCCAATGGCGATTTGTGGAAGTTCAGGTAAGAGTGGCCACGTTTCACGGTGGTCGGCCGGTGACTATGGTGGATGAAGGTTCAATATAGCGTGGGTGAGTTAGAAACGAGGAGAGTGGAGAGTGAAGCTGAGCTGCAGGGGGCTTTCTGCATGAGGTTTAGTTTATTTAGGTTTTATATTAAATGTTTTGGGTAAATTAAGTTTTAGTCATTGAAGCCAAAGGGTAAATTAGTTTCCAGTCCCCCATGTTTAAGCGCTTTTACATTTTAGTCATCTTTAGGATTACTTTCGAATTTAACATTTTGTGTTTATCCTAATTTCGCTATTTTTCCAATTTTAGTTTTAGTTATAATTTTGTTGGAATATTCACGTGTAGATCTCTTGTTTATGCGTGTGTTTTTATTTAAGTCCCTGGTTTATTTTTGATTTGTATGCAGAATTTTACATTTATTTAAATTTGGTCATTTTTTTAATATGTAATACATATTTTTTTCAAAAATTTGTAGTTTAGCATATCATTTTTTTATTTTTTATATTTAAGTCACATTTGTACATTATATATTAATATGAATGGTTTATTTTTTTAATTAAAAATATATGTATACTTTTTTGTATGTCACGTTGTATGATATTTTTAATTTTGTTTAATTAATTTTCGGCATGACATTTTTTTTTGCACAATTTGTATGATACCCTCAAGTGCATAACTCGACATCATTACATAATCGGACTAAGGGTAATACCCTTTTAATTTAAAATTGTCTAGAGTGGTTTGTCTTAACTCATTAGAGGGACGTTTTGACGATTTTAAATTAAAAGTGTATCATATCAGTGATACCTAATAAATTGATTTCTCACTTAAAATTTGGGAACGAAAGAAAAAGAAATGTTCAGTTATTTAAATTTTTCGAGAAAAGATTATTATAACTTATCTAAGATCTACTCTCGATATTTTTAAATAATCAAACATTCTTTATCTTTCTAAAACGTCTCGGTAATTTTAATTTAATTTATTTGTGTGCTTTTGAATATTATTAAATTCATATCTTTGTTTTATGGGATCAAAAATCAAATTAAGTTCGAATTTGTAAATTTCATTGCAAAGACGTTAATTAATCGACTAGGTACCAATTTAGGGCGTTGTGAGGATGCTATTCCTTCCCCATGCGTAACCGACTCCCGAACTCGATTTTCTGGTAACGCAAATTTCAATTTGTTGTTTTAATTAAAATAAATTTTATTTAAAATGGCAAAACGTTTTTGGGTGCCTAATCACACCCTAATCAAATATTGGTGGCGACTCTTCGAACCTTATTTTTCTATCGTAAAGGAAATCCCAATTTTTTTCCGAAACGAGAGGTTTTTAGATCATATTTTTTAATTAAAAATTAACCAAAAGAGAATGAATTAAAAATGATGTGTTTTTAAAATCTCACTTTTAAGGAAAAATCGTTTCGACAGCTTGGTGACTCCGCTGGGGACTTTTTTAGAGAGTCAGGCCGATAGTCGATTAATTAATTGTCTTTGTAATTGAAAGTTATAAATTCGTTTTAATTTGGTTTTTGATCCCTTGTTTGGTTTTAAATAAGTTTTGTTTGCATTTTGATTTGTAGTTCGATTAACCAATAAATAGTTGTACTGATATGTTTGCTAATGGTTTCAGATTAATTGTGTGAATTGATTTTTGAGTGTTTTTATTATGTGTTTTTTTTTGTTTTTCCTCACACACTGCACAGCTGCATTATCATGACATGAGCTAAAACCCCGCTCCGTCCTATTTAAGTAGGAGTGAGAGACTATGCCCTCGTATGGTTTTCACCTCCGCATGGGATAGTGGATCGCTCCTGGAGCTCACGCCTTATGGTCCTTGTGATGGTATTCACCTTCGCCTGGACATAAGGAGGTGTGTTCCCTTGAAATTGAACTCGATCCTAAAAGCCTGTGATGGGCCGGTTTGGTAACCCAAGGGGCACCGATAATGATAATTCGAGAACCTATTACTTTAGAACTGAACCCAACATATAGTGAATATAGAGCCTGAACTTAGGTTGAGCATAACCCGAACTTTAAGAATCCCGTGAGGAGGGTACACAAGGAAAAGCTTTTTTGAGTCATTTATTTTCATTTTTCGAATAAATGCATGCGAACTAGATATCATGCGGTTAGGTTTATTTTTCAAGCAAGCATGCAAATTAGATATCATGTGGTTAGGGTTGTAATGTTCAAACAAAGCATGGGGTAGATATCATATTGGGTAGGATCTGATAAAGCATGATTGAGTAGCCAACATGTGTGGGTATGATTCTTTAACAAATTATTATCCCTGGTTAATTGTTTTATGTTTACTAACTGATTGTCTTTTGTCTTTGCTTTATTTCTTTTTGTTTTGCATTGCATTAATCATTACATGGTGTTGATTTGGAATCAATTTCCATATAGAATACTAGTAATATGGAACGAAAGGTTCAGAAAGAGGTTGAAGATAATGCAGATGTTCTGAGGTGGTCAGAACAGTCCCAGCTGACCAACGGAGATAGTGTGATCCTTGGATATGTGTCGGAGTTATTTGTTTACACTTACATCAACATACGTCAGAATGATCTGAGTGAGCTAAAGGAGGTATGAGAAAGATGGGCAGTAGGCGATAAGTAGATGTTTTATCAGTTGTATGGCGATATTCCTTATCTTCTGGATGTTCCTATTGACCGGAATCTATTTAGAGCATTGGCGCAGTTCTGGAATCTAGCTTATAGTTGTTTCACATTTGGTAGAGTGGATCTGACACCAACAATAGATGAGTATCAAGATTTGGTCCGTTGTCCGAGGTCCCAAATGGATATAATATATACCAAGCTACCAATCACTCATTCATTTAAGAAGAAATTACTATTGATGACCGGAATGAGTGAAGATTGGGAAGTCAGAAATATTAAGAAGAAAGAAGACAGTTAGTGCATCTCTTGGGCTGATCTGAAAGAAGTAATTGATCGTCACCCTGACAAGAGAAATAAGCTTGACTTGTTTGCTCTAGGGATTTATGGGCTCTTTATTTTTTCGAAGGTTTTAGGATATGTAGACGTATCAGTCGTTGACCTATTTGAAAGACTAGACAAGTACGTTGATCCTGTTCTAGCCATTCTAACCGAGACGTTTCATTCTTTGAGTTCTTGTAGGCAAGAAAGAGAATGATATTTTATAGGGTGTGCGCCCCTACTGCTAGTGTGGATTCTTAGTCATTTCAAACACGTTGAAAGGACACTAGGACGAGTGTTTCTAAATGGGTTTTCACCTTTGATGGATATCCTTTCTAAAGAATAGCCTGGAGGCTTCACTGAAGAAAAATGGATAATCATCTTCAAGGATATCAGGGATAGTGATGTCTTGTGGAGAGCGTCATGGAATGTTTATTCGGATATACTTTATAGATATAGAGAGCGAGATTGGGTTCTTTTGCTAGGTATATGGGGTTCTGTCGGGTATGCATCGTTGCTAGTTTCCAGACAATATGGGTCAAGGCAGTTCATTCCAGTCACATGGGACTTGGTAGGGTCAGATTTTGCATTCAAATGAGAACAGTATAAGAGTAAATTTAAGGGGGTTACTAAGGCTTGGAAATAGACTTGTCATGTAAATCTGATCAC